TCGTGTGCACGCATACAGAAACATATATGATGTAATAAATATAATTTTTCTACTTAATTTTCATTTTGTGCAGTGAGGGAAGCAATATTTCGGGATATTTTGCATGGTCGTTGATAGACAACTACGAATTTGGTCATGGATTCACAGTACGATTTGGCTTAAATTATGTGAATTACAGTAATCCATCAGATAGACTGCCTAAAGCATCAGCTTTGTGGTTTACTGACTTCATCAATAATGCTACTAATATTTAGATCATCGCGAGTTTCTATTTATGAATTGAAATGAAAAATGTAAATGATCTTCCTAGAATATTCCTATAGGATTATTCTCTTCAACTAAGAATAAGGAAGATCAATATATCACGTCTTTAATGTCAGTAATGTAGTATGTTATAATTTGAAGCTATTATTATAATGTGTCTGCTCTTCCTCCGTCGGTAACTCTGGTTATTAGCTTTTTCCTGCAAATTTTTGTGCTCAAGAACTCTGGTTATGCAGTAAATTTCTGGGCCTCCCTTGTGTAGTTATCAAAATATTTTTCTTTAAACATTAAACAGACAGAAAATTACATCAGTACATAATTTCAAGAACTTGAATGATTGAAAGAGAAGGGAGACAAACTGATAAACCATTAGCCGACCGTATTACCAAAGGACAATGATGATTGAGAAGACTTGGATGGTTTACCAAAGGACCATCAGAATTAGATTTTCTTTTGCAAAGTGAAATAAGCTTCATTAAATATAGGATTAATAAATATAATGAATTGCACAATTACAATAGGAAAGCTTGTAAGGATGGCTCAGGAAACAGGGGAGGCGGTGTCGTTTTAGACTTAGGGTTATAATGTTTTTCACATTAGCTTGTTGTGGAAAGAGTGAGTGAAAGGGAATGGGTTTCATGTGTGATTGTAAGAGTTCCTATATTTACATATATGATCTCTATCTCTTGGTGATAACGTATAAAAAATTTTTAGTACTGATGCTGGCAGAATTCCCAAGAAATCCATGATCTCAGAATTACCGATCTTCCATAATGATCACATGAAGCTTGGCTTTCTTCACAAGGAGTTTACTAGAAGCTAAAATACGTAATTGAAAATACAATTATTTTAATTTTAACATGAACGAAACTTAATCTTAATGGAACTGAAGCTGGAATAAAAAACTTAATGATAAGCAAAGTTCAATGGAACTTTTATTTAATAATTAATTAATGATAATTTATTTTTAAAAAATAAAAATTAATTCAAGACAAATTGAAATAGAAATTGAAGTCAAATTGTCAGAACTTTATAATGAGATAATTATGCATCTGAATTAAATGCTCTCTAAGTAAAATTAATTAATTAACTCCTGTAGGTAGATCAA